TAAAACTCTAAACCAACATTTTTTGAATTTTTTTTCTAAAACTATCTACCCAAATGCGAAACCAAATAGATATCCCTGATTCTCCGCGGTTTTAGAAGGTAGTAATATTTAGGTGACTCAGTTTATCTGTGAGATAGGACAAAATGTACGTTAGTTACCTCATAGGTTTGGTGTGAATTGGATAGATGCAGGAGCCTATCGAAGGGAGTTGGGCCATTTTGTTGACAGGGGATGTTTGTTCTCCGTGGGCAGATAGAGGTCTCACCTTAATACTACAAAGGACATTGATCTGTTAGAGGTTAGAGTTAACAGCAAGATTAGACTATGTTGTTACAAATTCAAAGACGAGAGATTCAAACCGCACAATGTTGGAAAAAAGGTAATTGATAGAATATGTAGTTCATCATTTTTTTAACTTAACAAATTAAAAACTATCTCTTCTGGGCATGTTCTTTTTTTTCTCTTATCTTTCTTGTCCATCATTTGTCTAGATAATTCTTCAATTAAAATGTCCTCTCAACTTTTGGTCTATAGAATAATTTACACAATAGACTTGATGGAAGTACATATCATTCTATCCTCCCACATATCACAAGTCAATTTTTGTTTGGTGACTTCTTCTTAGCAAAAAGTCTAAATAGTACTTTTTTAGCAAAGCCAACAATCGTACGCAAAAGTCAAAGATTCCTTTTCTCTTACTTTTTGGGCCCATTTTCGTATTGCCAAAAGTCATCACACATATAAGTTTTTTTACCTAATTTTTTAGCCATATAGCAAAAGTTACGTAATATTAGCCTGTTGCCAACGGGCTGCAGTAATCAATAGTAAAACTGCAATATTTATAGCGACACTCCAATATGGGGAACTCTGCTGGAAATGAGGCTAAGGAAATTAGCCCAATGTAAACAAGTTCTGGTATTGACATAAAGATTACGGTTTACAACATTAAGTTAGCGTCAAATCTATTCTATTTATAAGATTTAACCTACAACTAATGTTGATATTAACTAGATGCATGCCATAAAATCATAGTGTGATTATTTGCTGCCGATATATGTCATTCTCTACTAGCTTAATAGTGTCAGATGCTTCATCAGCTGCAAGTGGTATGCATCATATATAAGATTTCTCGTAAACAGAGGGAGTTTATACAATGGCATATAAATCCAATAACAAATTAACGATTTCATTGTATCTTCATGTAAGTGTAATGTTAAGTGCACCATATAAAGTCTAATTCCATCTACACATTTTTCAATCTAATGATGGACTCAATGTAGTGATTCATTAGTTTGTATAGTCGCGCGATAGTGTGTTTTACAATGCAGATTCATGGCCCTTGCTTTATGTGTCTTTGTAAACATTTGACTTTGCAGTAAACTGTGATCAACTTCTTTCATTCAGTGCACTACTTAGTTTAATCTTGTCTCATTGTTAGTTTCATAAGATTTTGTTCTATCAGCCATTGATACATCACCATCTACTTCAATTTCACTTAGATGCCATCAGCTACTTTCAGTCAACACTGCTAGGTAGACACAATAACTGTTTTCCTTCAAGCTGGTTGTTTGACAAATTGTATATTTTGTATTAAAAATAAAATTTAAATATACATTCTACATCAATTTAATGGTGCCAAGCTAAAGATCAGCACAAATACAACATTTCATTAACATCTCTAAGCTTTGAAATTAGTGTGGATACATTATATCATATAGATTATAGATATAAATAATTCCAACCAAGCCTATACCTCAATAAAATTTGTTTTTTATTTGTATGAATGTTCCTACAGTTTATGTTTATTGGTTTGTCTATCAAGAAAATCATTATGAATCAATCAAGACAAAGGATTGTTTTGGCTTTAATTACTGAATGGATTTTCCAAACAAACAGAGCCCATTAGTATTATTAATTAACATAGATATAGATAGAACATTTGCAAAACGTGGAATCTTCTTGAATAAAACAGCTACAGAAAGCAATTATAGACATAAATTTTCAAGCATACATCTCCCTCCTAAAACAGAATCAAATCAAACACATAAGAAATAGTAAAAATCTCGGAAAGTATCAGAGGGTGTATTGACATCTTTGCAGATTCAGACTGTGCTAAACAGTGTGTTTCAAAAGGCAGATAATCAGAAGAGGAAAGAACAGTTGTCTTTAGGCGTGTTTGTTTTCATTTACATGATGGCGATTATCGTTCCAGCAGAATATACATCTAACAAGCTATCTGGCTAACCAGATTCAAAAATTAGCGACTCCTGATGATGGTTGCAGTAGAGACCCACACGATCCTTGGCCTTACTTTCGACCGTTGAATAACCCAGGTACATTATGCTACAACGCAAATTTTATGTCATAGATTGAAGGGGGTCCTAAGCTTTTACTGAGCATGTGCAACTAGATATTTTTATCCAGACATAGGATATCAAGGTTCAGCGAAATGCGAATGTTCTCAAAATGACGCTCAAATTTTATCGATATACGTATCTAACGAGCAATACTTAGGGTTTTTTACGTCTCTATTTTATAATGTAACTAGGTAGGTGTGATATTAATAGATTGTAACAGTTTTGAGTTTAACGGCCATCACTTGCTTTCCCAGGAATACATGTCCCTTTGAGCCCCAATAGCCATTTGTGCAGGTCCATCCTCTATATTTTGGAGCTCGCCCGAGAGATCGGGTGCTTTTGGTGACAAAGAATGTTGCCATTCCTCTTTAGTTAGGTTTGTATCTGCTTGATAATTTCGAATTTAGCTTGCAAATTACTATGGCTTATTTACAAAGACAAAAAATAAGTGAAGGTGGTCTATATTTGCCTACTGTAACCTACGCCGCGAGGGGGTGGCCCGCGTTACAGTTCGGACTCGATTTTTGTTGCGGTGTTCGTAATCTGAGACCAAAGAGTCCTATTCGGAGATCTGTTTGTGAAACAGATTTTGTAAAGAAGTGTCAATATTGATTGCTTTTGCAGTACAGAGTCGCACTAAATACTTTTTTTATGGGGGATTTAGGAAATCCTGGACTCTGAGGTGCATAGCATGTATGCCCAGTCTATACCCAATATGTTGCTCGGCTCCCCGGAACTCGGGTACGATTTGGGAAAGTCGCTGATGGCCCCTCTTGCCCGATCGAAGATCGGCCTATAACCATGATATCTGATTTGAAACGTTTATGCGCTCTTTATTCCGATTTAGCCTTAGAAATTACTATGTTATGCGCACAGAACAAGTATAGACCAATCGCCTAAATTGGACAAAACATAGTATGTTTGCTTTTGAAAAGGTTTTGCTATCGGCAAGTAGAGCTAAAATGGAGGTTTTTGCCACCCTCAAGTGGGCTTTTAGAAAAGTGGTTTTTGCCACTATGAGTGGCTTAACTCAAAGTTTTAATGCATTTTATCCCTTTAGCAATTTTCGACCTTCATTCAAGGCATTCAAGCAGTTTTCAATAGCAACTAGCCTCATGGAGCATGCTGTCATGTTACTCAATCATGCAGGTATGTAAGCATTAAAATTATTACATGTTACTGTGCCAAACAATAAACAGTTAGCACAGATGACGCCTTATCCAGTTAGTGGCTATGATCGACACATGTACTAGAATAGGCTCGGCTAATCTGGATGGCATGTGAATGGCACAACAATGTATTCAGGTTAGATTTGATACTTATGCAGTTAGCGGATTGCGCGCGAGCCGGTGCATGCATACTGATGAATGAGCGCGCATGATTGCTAAGGTCCTGCATTAAAATGTCCTAATATAACCATCAAAGCAGGTAAGTAAAAGGGAGAAAGAAGTGGGGATTGGAAGCATGCCACAGGCACACACTTATTCAGATTTGCCCTTGCTCGGAGGGTCGACACGAATTCAAATTACTAACTCGCAAGCTTATTAATTTTACAAATTCACTATTTAAATTACAATAATTATCTAAGAAAAGCAAGAAACAGCAGCCTCGGGGAGTGCCGTCGATGCCTAGCGCGCCGGCTTCGCCCGGAAGTGCCACTGCCATTTGATAGGGTGCCTCTGTTTTCCCTACTTGCCCTCTGAGACTGCAAGTTCAGAATTGCTTACCGGGCATGGGAACACCACCAGGCTGGAGGGGTAGCACAGCGAGTAGTATGTGATCATCGGCTGTTGATTGAGTATCGGCCCCAAGGATCCGGTCGGCACTCTGTGCGTTGATCGGCAAAAGTTCTGCAGGAATCTGTTGACAGCAGGCAGAGGGACGAGCCTTGCATGCAATACAATTCAAGCATGTATGCACAATCACACCCTTCTCTGCTTGACTCAAAAGGGACATGATCCTTGTTCCTGGCACCATCAATCGCGCATTTAATGGTGATGGCCAAGAGACAGTGGCCCTTTCATTTCATGTTATGCAATCGCACTAGTTCAAGCCAAGGGCTTTCTACTCTTCTGGCTTGATCAAGAGGTGAGCATGATGCGTTGCATGCAATCCTAGGTGGAGCTAGCATGTAAGCCATTTGGACAATTCATTCGAATAGGTCGTGTCATTTTGTCGAGTTTATCATCCTAGATTTTTATCCAGCATGAGAATTAGCACAATGGCAAGTTCTCAAAAACCAAATCAAAGTTCCTAACACCAACTACCAGGTTTTGTAACTTCTAATATTTACATCTAACAATAGGATCATTTAATTAATTAGTAACAGTTTTGAGTTTAAGGGCATTCACTTCTTCCCAAGGAACTGTCCCATTTGAGCCTCCCATAGACCACTTTTGTGCAAGGTCACTCCTCTATATTTTGAGCTCCCCCGAGAGAATCCGGTGCTTTGGTGACGAAGAATGTGCACAAATTCCTCTTTAGTCAGGTTTGTCATCTACTCATTAATTTAAAGACATTTAGCTTGCAACAAATTATTTATGCTTAATAAAGACAAAAAATAAAAAATAAAAAAGTGAACAATATCTTACCATCTATTGCCTACTTGTTTCATATCGTCTTCGTAATCACAAAGTAAAATTGATACTCCAAATCACTCTAAAACATTGAATACTGACATTAGCCAACTACAACAATTGGGGGAAAAAAAGATAATGACAACAAGAACACAATGGAGATAGATTACCTTATCAAATCATTGCTTTCTAGCCACAACCTGCAACATCATTAACTATTCCTAGTAATGAAGCAAACCAAGAGAGGGGAGGGAAAGAAAGAATTTTGCAGTAGTAGAGGCTGTTTTAGGAGGGCTTTTAACCTTTGTTTTGATCCTCAAACATCAAACAATCAACAAGGGAGCAAGGTGGAAATGATGAGTGTGGGTGTACATGAGCTTAAACTTGTGTCTTCCATTGATAAAAATAAAACCACAGATCCAAAAGCTTAAACACTCTACAAAATTAATTTCATAACAAAATTATTTTGCCCAATGTAGTATGCCTCTCACTTATACAGTTTGTACCTAATTACGCAATCACTCTTAATTACGTGATAAATTGAACCCAATTTGGACTCCCACCTCTTTCCCAGAGGCACTTCAGTATATTGGTTAACAAAAAAAAGGGTTAACAAATTTCATAAAGAGCAACAACACTAGCATAGCAAGCCACTTATGGATCTAGGGCAAGTTTTATACGATTTGGGGATACGGCAAGCTCGAGAGCGAGAACGAGAGAGAGCGCGAGACTGAGAGAAAGAGCGAGATATAACCTGGTATTGCGGCAGTGGCAGTGGTGATTTGCAACGGTGGCGATTTGTGACGGTGGCAATGTGCGACGTCGAATGCTTTCCGGTGGTAAGCACCTGAGGTGAGGTGAGGTGAGATTTGGTGGTGATTGTGTGTGTGTGTGTGAGAGAGAGAGAGAGAGAGATAGTGCTTTGTATTCCTAAACAGAGGAGGATACCTGGGAGGGCGCGAATAGGTTTTCATTTTCCTACTAAAATTTTGGCAGCTTTGGCGACTAATTTCAAATTTTGTCAGCAAAAAATGTAAGTAATTATTTAGCCAAATCAACTCAAATGGCGACTAAAATGTTAGCCACCAAAACTCAACCTACGGCAACTAAAATTCTTTTTGTCGCTGAAAATAAACTTTTGGCGACCCAAATTTTAGTCGCCAAAGGTAAAAAAAATAATTTTGTATTTTCTATTTGGCGACTAAATATTTTAGTAGCCAAAACTCAACCTACGGTGACTAAAATTCTTTTTGTCGCTGAAAATAAGCTTTTGGCGACCAAAATTTTAGTCGTCAAAAGTAAAAAAATAATTTTTTATTTTCCATTCGGCGACTAACTGGTTTTAGTAGTCAAAACTCAACATACGGCGACTAAAATTCTTTTTTGTCGCCAATTCTGGCAATTTTTAGCAACTAAATTTTTTTTTAGTCGCTAATAACCAATATACCCCCTACTAAAAAAAACTAGTAGCTAAATGTTATACTTTTGCCGAGTAAAAAAAAATTTAGTCGTCAATTCCATAACTTTTGGCGACTAAATTTTTTTTAGTCGCCAAAGGTGCATTTTTGTTGTAGTGTATGGCCATCACTACTCAAAAGAAGCTGCAGAAACTCTCAACTGATTAGCAGAAACATGAGAGAGAGAGAGAGAACAAATGAAAAGCATATAGAAATGAAATAATCTATTGATATTGAAGCTTATCTGAAACAAACACAGGATACTGAAAATTAGTGCTGCTGCGTATAACATAGCCAATAAAACAAATTAATCACTTGTGATACTGTCTGGCGGAGTGGTTGAGCCCACTCCTTTATTCAAAAGGGCACATATACAACATGAGTCACATGACAACCACCAACCACAAATTTCTGAGAAGCTAAGTATATATTCTACAAAATTTGTGTCCCCTGCCGAGGCTCATCCATAAGCTCTGCAAAAGCATCTCCATTTGGAGAAACGGACTAAGTACTAAAAATCAAGTTCAAATATCGTTAGTGGACATTTGATGTAAACTAAAAAACAAACTTCTCACTAAAAAAACCAAAAAGCCACTAAGTTGTTTGTCATCCGCTAAAAAAGTCAAATGTCATATCAACTTTTTCACTCAAAAAAAAAAAAAACAGTTTTTTAAGCAACATCCCAAACATATGGGAGCTTCTATTTACACACACCCATTCCCCTCTTTACACATCTTTTTCAATAAATAATTGGTTCGAAAGTAGATTTCCGAAAATAAGCAATTGGTTCGGAAGTAGCTTTCCGAAAATAAACAATTGGTTCGGAAGTAGACTTCCGAATTTTTATTATTTTTTCGACAATCAACTTCCGAATGGGTTTATTTGATGTCTATAATAGTAATTTCACCTGAAAAAAAAATTTATAATAAAAATAATTTTTATGAAGTGTGTGCAAAGAGGGGAAGGTGGATGTGTAAATAGAAGCTCCCCAAACATATTAGCTTTTTTAACTCCTAAAAAAGCCAAATTCCAAACCCACCCTTATGCTTAAAAATTAATGGATACCAAGCAACATGCAGCAAGCATCAAACGAATCAGAACTGAGCTGTTGTCCAACACCCCAACTCTTGAAAAGAGTTCCCTTTTTTTAAGCATCAACAAAGAAACTTGTATTAGAGAATGTCCTGGTGGGAGAGGAGGGGAAGAAATCTTGATAAAATGGTGCTGTTTCTAATAACGATCCAGCTACAAATGTTGTTACGGTTTCTAATAATAATAACCCATCCTACATCATTATCTCTAGAAATCCTTAACCAAAGCACACTAATAAGGATGTATGATTACATCACTTTCCTGTATATAATGAGTCAAACTATATATCGAACTGAAACTTAGAAGTATATTCAAATCAAGAAATGTTCAACTGCCTTACTTTAAAGCCTTTTAGGGGACAACACTATCACATATACAAGTATGAGCTTTCAATTTTTTACTAGACATTATTTTCATTACATGTACTATAATTAATGTACTGCAAAAAAAAAAAAAAAAAAAAAAAAAACCAGAGAAAAGTGAACAATGTATAACACATAAATGCACCCATTATGTCAAGGTATTAAAAAAACATGGAGGATAAGAAAATAAACAAGGCAGTTATGTAGAACATAAAACATGCTACCCATCACAAGGCAAAGATGGGAAAGTCATATTTATGTGGATTGGAAGAGTTTCTCCACGTTTCAAGTCGACAACCATCTGCCAAGATATGAATTATCACAGTAAAAAGACCATCTATGTAGTCTGAGAATCTTTATGCGATAACAATAATAAAGAAAAATGATTAAGCCGCAGTGTACTCGTAATCTTACACTAAATTTAGAAGAAAATGGAGCATTACAGGGGGTAATTTAGAACAAATTACACACCCGGTGAACAGTATATGTGGTAATATAATATCTCAGCTCATGGAGGAACAAAGAGGCGATTATGACCAGACCCACAATGGAGACTGGACAAATAAACAAGGAAAAAAAATTGCAAATTAGCGCTAGAATCAAACTGTTAAGTATAAAATCAAAGTATAGGATACAGGAATCCAACACATTTTAATATTTACTAAGTATATCAAGTAGTGCAGTTGCAGTTACTAATGTTTTACTTATCCAAATTAAACTAGAAAGAGGCCAAATTATTGAAAGCTCATACAACATTCTGGGACACTCATCCTTCATGTTTCAAAAAGAGACATGTCTCCTATACATAAGGAATTGGGAAAGAGAAATATATGTCTTTTATTGCATGCAATCGAGTAGTTCAATCTGACCGTGTCTTAATCTTACATGTGAAAGAAATACCCAACTCTTTAAAATTAGGATGTGTCCACATAAGCAAACTGCATGTACAGCATGTCTTAATTGCAAATAACATGCCGAGCAAACAAAAATATAACTAACATGACAATTTGCATTTTTCGCAAAGAAAGTTTGAACGAGGATGAGGGGGAGTTGGAGAAAAATAAGAAGAAGATACCAACTGCCCCAGATTGTGTTTTCTGCAACAAGTGCTCCTCTGCACGCGGGAATGCATCAAGGTTTTTTATTGCTTGTTTGAGACCCATCCTGACCTCGTTCATAATCTTAATCACCTATCAAATGGTAAGAACTGCTCAAGTTTAATTAGAATGGTAATACAAGTCAACAACTGCAACTTAAGGCATGGGGAAATAAGTGACAAATTCAACAAATTTCCAAGAGCAACCATTATCTGCACACGTATATGCAAATATGTAAGAAATATATAACAATAATATAAATGTGTAGAGATATACATGCACATATGAGAACCGACAGTCATTATAAGCTACTTTGATGACCATGGTGAAATTATTCAAATGCCACCATAAGGGGAGATATTTTGACATAAATGTTTTTGCATCTTGTAGGAACTTTAAAAGGAAGACAAAAAAAATTATTTTTATTTTTTTTCTGATGAGTAAAGTGCAATAATTCTGAAAATATTTTTTATTTACAATATAAAAATAATATGTATTAAAAAACAAAAAACTCGAATACTGTTCCGATTAACCGAGAAACGTCAAGAAGGACTACCAAGTTAGCCAAATATTCTTACTTGAAAAGAAATTTTTAAAAGTGAATGTAAAATTATAATTTGAAAGTTCAAAATAAACCCTCGTAAAAATCGGTGGAAATGTGTTTGCCAACATAAACCCAAGTTACCTTTCAAAACTCTAGTTCACGATCTCTGCAAATTCATGTCATCTGAACCTCAAAACCCTCCAATGGAACAACAACAACAGCACCAAGAGCAAGAAGAGGGTTCCACTCAGAGCAAGAAAGCCGCCAAGTTGGAGAAGGAAGCCTCCGCGAGGAAAAATCTGCCTCCGGAGCCTCCGCCGCGGACGCCCCTGACCCCCTCGCCGCCAACTACGGTGATGTCCCACTCGAGGACCTCCAGTCGAAGGCCGTCTCGGGCCGAAAATGGATCGAGATCGCGAATTTGAACGAGGAGTTGAAGGGCCAGAACGTGCTGATTCGGGGGCAAGCTCATGCGATCCGCAGTGTGAGCAAGAAAATGGCGTTTTTGGTTGTTAGAGAGCGGGGATTCACTGTGCAGTGCGTGCTCTCTGTTGCTCCGGACGTGGTTAGTCTCCAGATGGTGAAGTTCGCCACTGGGTTGAGCAAAGAGTCGTATGTCGATGTCGAAGGGACTATCTCTGTTCCTAAGGATCCCATTATAGGTGCTTCTCAGCAGCAGGTATAATAGCATCTCTGTGTCAATTTTGAGAATGATTTGAGATTGACAATTTTGAATCCTCAATTCACCTCACAATGACATGATAAGTGAGTTGGGCCATAGATGATTGAGTTTGTGACAAATTAATAGTTGGATTATGCACAACTTCCCTTAGGGGCCTTAAACCAATTGACATGGATTTGTCCACATCACGGTGGATAAATTTAAGGGTGTCAAGCTTTTTTGTGACGGAATTTTGGGTTTCGTTTTATAAATTATAAGTACGGAAATAACTTGACAATCATGTTTTGATGTCAATGCTTATTGATTCACAGGTGGAAATTCAAGTGAAGAAGCTTTACTGCATCAGCAAGGCGGTTCCTGCCTTACCTATTAACATTGACGATGCTGCACGCGGTGAAATTGAAATTGAAAAGGCTTTACAGGTATGTTTATATATCTTTTCTTACATGTACATCAGATATCTCTTCTTTGGAAAATTGACAGTGTGCCCACTCATTTGTAGATGAGCTTCCATTAAATTTTGTGTTTTTGTATTATTTGACAAATTTGACTTAGGTGCTTACCCTCTAAGGGTCTATGTTAATCTAGTCTCTCAATGGGTGCAGGCTGGAAAACAGCCTGTTCGTGTCAATCAAGATACCCGTTTGAATTTCAGGGTTCTTGACCTGTGTACTCCTGCTAACCAAGGAATATTTCGTGTTCAGTGCCAAGTTGAAAATGTAAGTCCGCATCTTGTAGTCTACCTGTTTTATTTGCATCCATTTATTTTTTATAAATTATAATGTGCGTGGTTTCTTGGAAAACTATACGCCATTGCTTGAAGGAAAGAAAAAGATATATGAAGTAATATTTTCAAAAGTTCTTATATTAGTTATGGTGATTGGGCATGGGGTCAGTTCGTAAAGGGAGCGTGGTTGTGTCTTATGTTTGAACCTGTTCTAGAAAAAATGAAATGAAAAATGAGACTGGATATCGTTTGTATTTACTCATGAACGAAAAAAAAAATGGTAGTGTGCCAATCAGTGTAACCAAACATGTGGGTTGGTTGGAATGAAGTTCAATAAATTACTGGGTATATTTGCCAATAGTATTGCCAAGCTGAACAGGGCTTGGTCCTTAATTCTTTGGGTGAATAAGTCATAAAAAAACAAAGAACTTACACAACTACAAGGGGCTTGCCCCAAGACCTACACCACCACTATACAAAGGAATAGAGCCAGCCAAAAGCCAAACAAAGCCAAAGAGAACAGGCTAAAAGAAATATACAGCCCTAAACTACATATAGGGATTAAAGACACTTAAACTAAAGAACAACCCAAAAAAAGACAAAAGGACTAACAACCAAAACACAACTATACCTCAGGTTTGGATCTATTTAATATGTTTAGGGTCCCCATACCAGCTGTATGTGGACCATGAACACACCCCAAAATCCAAAAAAACCTGAAGTAACGTCCACACCAAGATGCAAATACTTTCCCTTACACAGCCCGCAAGGGTAGGCCACAAAATAATCGCCAAAACAGCAATACAAAGGATGTAAAACGACTGATACAATGAAAAAATAAAGGATTTCTTCACACTAGAGGCGCTTAGAGCAGCCATCTTCACTTGCTGCCAGATTCCTATTTCCAGTGGACACATCGCCTGAGAATGATCCCAGCAGCAGCCCTTACTAAGCAAACGTTTCCAGCAAGCAACCTTTGTAACCATTCCTACCAGCAATAGTCTTGAAACAATCAAGCAACCCTATCAACAACACAGGTAAACATGAGCATAACCTATCCACTACACAAAAGCATAGTGTAACAGCCAGGTTGCACCCGAAACACACAGTATATAATCTTACTACACTCAACACACAATATAGAATCTCACTCCTCTCGGAAAAAACATGCTCCATAAACCTGCAAAAAGAAAGTAAGAAAATATAGATATAGATATTAGTACCACTCATTTTGGCCAGTGAATTGAGGTTAGGTACTAATATTTTCCTCACAAACATACTCTCAACCCTCACTGATTGGTCACCCCCCGAAAAGAGAAACCAAACATGCTTTGCAATAGCAGACTTATTCCACACATCTAGAGATTTAAAGCCCAAACCCCCTTCATTCTTTGGTGAGCAGATCTTATCCCAAGCAACTTTTGCACCATACTTCTTAAGTTCACACCCAGACCAAAGGAAAGCTCTAAACAAACTCTCCACAGATTTTATGACCTTCTTAGGAAGGATAAACAAAGAGGTCCAATACACTTGCATAGAGAACAAAACCGATTTAATTAATTGAGCACGACCAGCATAAGTTAAACGCTTATTAGTCCAGCTCTTAATCCTCTTTATTATCCTTTCAACAAGTTGGTCACAATCACTGGCTTTAAGCTTTGTAGACACTAAAGGAACACCTAAGTATCTCACAGGCAGGAAACCTTCCGTAAACTGACACAAGAGAAGGATCTCCTCTCTTAACTTTTTCTCACAGCCAGAGAAGAAAATATGACTCTTGCTGGGGCTTGGAGAAAGCCCAGAAAGATTTTGAAATTCTTCTAAACCATTTTTAATGGCCTGAACAGTGAACAAATCCCCTTTGCAAAAGATCATAAGATCATCCGCAAAGCAAAGATTGACAATCTTTGTTTTACCACATCTCCAATGGAACTTAAAATCAGGATGAGAAGATTTCTCAGCCAAAATTCTAGGAAGAGCCTCCATGACAATAACAAAAAGATAAGGTGACATTGGATCACCTTGCCTCAACCCTCTCGCCCCTTTAAAGTACCCATGCAGACTCCCAACCCTCTTGGTCCTTAATTCAGTTTCACTGTTGTGCAGATATTCAGGCAGTTCTTGCTAGCTGATGGCTTTGTTGGGATTCATACCCCAAAGTTGATAGGAGGCTCCAGTGAGGGTGGCTCAGCTGTTTTTAAGCTGGACTACAAAGGCCAACCTGCATGTCTGGCACAGTCACCTCAGCGTCACAAGCAACTGGCAGTTTGTGGTGATTTGGTCGAGTTTTTGAAATAGGTCCTGTTTTCAGAGCAGAGGACTCCTACACGCAGACACTTATGTGAGTTTACAGGTCTTGATGTTGAAATGGAAATTAAGGAGAACTACTCTGAGGTAAAGTTGAATTGTTCACTTCTTGAAGTGCCAAGGCTACCAACTAGTAATGCAATTGTCTCTGTGGTAGTAAGATGCTCTAGCTTCTTTTTACAGGTGATGGATATTGTGGATCGGTTATTTGTTGCAATGTTTGATAGTTTGAATGAGAAATGTCAGAAAGAGCTTGAAGCCATTGGGAAACAGTATCCATTTGAGCCTTTGAAGGTCATATCGTTGTTTTCTCATTGTAGTTGAAATACTCTACATCATATTTCATTATTGGAAATAATAACATATTATATACGCCTGCTTACCAGAAAACTCTTATAAAAAGTAATTTTAGTGATCACACTAAAATATATTTTAGACTTCTGTCTAGGAATTTTTGTGATAATTCAACAATTCTATATGTCTGTAGATAGTCCTATTTTGTTACTGATTATTGGCACTGATTGGATATCCATGTGGTACTTGAGAAAGACTTTACGACTTACATTTCAAGAGGGGGTTCAAATGCTAAAGGTGACACCTCTCCCTCTCCCTCTCTCTCTAATGTATTATTTACTGAAAGCATTGTTGTCAGATTGAGAATCACATTGTGATATTTGAATTGAAATAGTAATTTTAAGAATCATGAATTGAATCAAATCTAGAATCATAAGATTCGGCACAAACTAGCAAAAGATTTTGGGACGTTTTTTATACCTTAGTTTTTCTACAAGGACGTGATTACAAATTCTAATTGGGAATAAATTTTTTGTAGCAAGAAATGTTGGTCCAAATCCCACAAACCACAAATTATTTAAAGACCATAATATATTCTTTCTTGACATTAAACAAATAGACCTAGAAACTGTAAATAGAGTTGAGTAAGATGAAAAAGTAATCGAGAAACATTTATTTTAAAATATATAGTACTTTGAAATATGTGTATGCTTATTATTGCAAAAAAACTAAAAAAATAAAAAGAAAGGGAACCGTTAGGTCTGATTGAGAAACATTTATAATCCACAAATAGGTTCAAGAATGGATTGACCACTGCCAAAAACCAACTATTCAAAATAGACAAAAGATGTACTCTGTAATCTAAAAAAGGCTCTAACTTTTGGTAAAAATATCTTCTATTTTTTCAGCCCACACACTAACCACATCAAATTCAAGGGAACCAAACACCATGCCTTCCTTCTCCAAACCGATTTTTCGAGAGTAAAGAGTGCATCAGTGCCCTGAGGGAAGACCCACTCAACTCCAAACGAGAGAAGTCGCAAAGACTATAATTCATGTGCCGCCTCATAATCAATCTCCATTTTTCTTGTAAAAGTGGTCCCAGAATTTGAAACCGAACACTTGTTTTTTCTTCTCCGTTACAATTTCTTGTTACATTTTTTTACTGGAAAGGCCTACGTCTTACCAGTAAAGATTTGTTGAAAAATTTCTAGGAATTTCCCCGAGAATAGGATACACTACAAAATGAAATAAAAATTTTGGTGAAGTGTTGTTCACGTTACATATTGAAGACGGTATAAGAAGGTATTTAGTTAGGATATGCAATGGTGTGGAAATATGTGTCGTAGTTACTGCTAATATATGAGTTCTACCAGTGCTGTTGTGGAACTTCCTTGTTTTCTTTATTTTTCGATGTGTAATACGAAAAAAATAGAAAGGATTGTGTAGAAAACAAAAAAGTCAACATGAAGTCAAAAGACGTTTATGAAAGCAGATATTTACTAAAGTTTTTTTTTGGTTGATATTTTACTGCACTTGTCAAGTCAATATGCACTTGTCATTTCCTGCTTATTCACATTCTTATTTCAATAAGACTTGTTTGCACAGGAAGCTGGTGTTGAAATTGATCCTTTAGGGGACCTGAACACAGAATCAGAGAGAAAGCTTGGCCAGCTTGTTTTGGAGAAGTAATTTGCATTTTTCTGACCACTTTATGAAACTATTTTTCTTATTCTTTTCCACCTTCTTGATAACCTTTTCTTATGCCTCTATTTTAGTATGATATTGTGTATAAAATGATCTGTACTTTCTACTGAATGTAGGTATGGGACTGAGTTCTATATACTCCATCGCTATCCGTTGGCTGTCCGACCATTCTATACCATGCCTTGCAGTGATGATCCAGCTTATAGTAATTCATTTGATGTCTTCATTCGAGGCAAGCACTGTTTGATTACCATTTTCTTTTGGAGTTTTTGTTTTTTTGTTTTAAATTCATTTATTTAGTTATTTTATCTCCATTGTCAAATAATATGAGGCACAAATATGAATTTTAGTATGGCCAGTGTACATTCATGAAAAATATTTTTATAATATTTAGAGTGTGTTTGGGAAGCAAACATTTTAGCCAAAAAAACCATTAAAAAAGCCAAAAAGTTATATACAAAAAGGTCAAAGATTCCTTTTCTTCTATACTTTTTACACTTTTTTTTTAGCCAAATAGCCATTCCCACACTTCAATTTTTTCACCTCATATTTTAGCCAAAAAGCCAATTCCCAAACCAACCCTTAGTGGTATTGTATTATACATAAACTCAAAGAATGGAAATTAGTTTAAGAACCAATACCCAGTAGTTAGTTTACTTTCTAATTTTCAGTAGGTCCTATAAAAATTTTATTTCAATATAGTATAATTTTTTAACTCTCTCTTGCGACTTTCACTTTTGCATTTAAGTTGTTATATGCAAAAGTGTTTGTATGCAAATTTTCTTGTTTATTTGTTGATATCCGAATTTAGTATTGTTATATTTTGCTTGTTATCCCTACTTTCTATGAAGTATGGATATAGATATGGGACACATGCAGGACACATTGATGCCAATTCAATAAATTATAACAAGTGGGGTACTATTTTTATCTTACTATTTTTTTTTCTTCTTCTCTGAGTAGTGACCAAAGTATTGAAAAATTATTCTCGTATTTATCTTAACAATTACACTCTAATGCTATGCAAAGAATTATTATGATTTCAAAATCATAATAGTTTTGGTACTTGGCCTAGAGAATTCGAAAAGTATTAGATAGTTCTCAAAATTAAATAAAATTAATTTCAAATCATGGATATGTTTAGGAAGTATTGGATACGTATCCACGAAGACCCATCTTTTGCCAAATATAATATTGAAAAGCTTTGTGTAGTAGAAGCTGTGTGGCAACTGGAAGATAATGGGTATGTTTGGTTTGAGTTTGGGAGATGAGTTTTAGAGATAAAAGGTACGAAAAGTTGTTTGGTTTAGTTTTTTTCAAAAAATGTTTTGGAAAATTTTTTTTGAGAGAGAGTTTTGGAAAAAGTGATTGATTTGATGTATATGAGAGAGAGATTTGTTTGAAAAACTTGTAAACCAAACAAGTTTTGGGAAATTTTTTTGGAAAAATTTGTCTGGTTTGATTACTTTTGAAAACTTATTTGTAGAGAATTTTTCTCAAAATTGTTTGGGAAACACAAACCAAACATGGCCAATAAATTCACAACATTTGGAAGAATGGTTTAAAAGAATATAGAAGATAAAGCTTATAAAAAAAGAATACGAAGTAGATATTTTAAAATAAAACTAGTAGCGGTGCTTATGAGATCGTTGGCTGAATTGGTGTTAAAAGAAGTATATTCCTAGTTACATCTTCAGAAAAATGGTGAGTAATTCAAGTTACTTTCACTAGGCATGTTGATTAATGATGTGTTATTTTTTATTTAAATTTCAAAATAGAATAGGAATGGGAGTCCAATTACTCTGTTTCATCAAAAACAGAATATGATAATCTTGTAGAATATCTGGAGTCCTACAAGTTTAAGAATCTCAAACCGAATATAGTTTTTGAGGGCAGGTTGGCTGTTGGTGCTACTATGGAAGAGGTGTATTCCTGGTGACATGGTAGATATTTCGACTTAAATTTTTATATGCTTGTACCATGAAGTACCCTGGTGAACACAATATCCAATGGGATAACCTATACTTCAAAATAGTGGCAAAGTTTGTGTATCATATAGATCTGTTATCCAGACATGCCTGCACTCAGATGCTAATTCTGGAGGCCATGTTTTCATATTGTACACCTGTCCATATGAATCTGTTATCCATATACCTGTACCGCAAGCTCATCTTGGAGTCCATATATCCATGTTGTAGATCTTGCATATATTCTGCCTCCACCCCAGATGGCTTTGTTACTGCCTTTGTTATTATCATTGGTTATTATTAGTGTATTTCTTATTCTCTATGTTGAACTACTGCTTGTTTATGTCCACTTATGCTTCCCATAATATTCCCTAACATGGCACTTTTCTCCTTCTCTATTCTCTCCTTCATTTGGCCTGCATAATGAACTTCTCATTGAAATATATAAAAATCACCTACTAAAAAACAAATAAATGATTTTTTTTTTCTTATTCCATTTATCCCTTTTTTTGAATCATTATACATTAAAGCTGACTTTGTTTCTCTGTGCCTTCATCTTTAGGGGAGGAGATAATCTCTGGAGCTCAACGTGTCCACGTACCCGAATTCTTGGCAACACGTGCAGAAGCCTGTGGAATTGATGTCAAAACTATATCAACATATATTGATTCTTTTGGGTATTTCTTCATTGACCATTTTGTCGTATATTCATTTGAGTTTTTTAGTTGCTTTATACTTAAAAAGTTAAAACAAGTTGCCCTACCACTCACCCACAGCCAAGAAAAGGGGTGGGGGTGGGGAATACCTCCCCCTCACTTAAGAAGAAAATATTAATGTGTGTCAATTATAACAGAATCATATTAAAAGAATCAAATTTCAGAAGTACTTCCTTTTAGATATGCTTCTTTAATTTTATGTTGGCAGTTGACCTGTACAAACTATGTGACATTTGAAGTTTGCTTTTGCTATTGCAAAAGACATCAACTATTAAATTTTGGAAAGTTAGTTGGGATTGTTTCATGTTTTGAATTGATGGTGTGAGACTAGCCTCGTGTTAAATAAAGAAAAAAAAATCAATATATGATTACTAACTATGTGCACACTTCGGTGGCTTGTCTTCATAATTTGAATTTGTTATCTTTGTGCAAACCATTGTGTATAATACATCCATCTATTTAATTAGTTTGGTTTCTTGAACCATTACACATGAAATCTCAAAAATATTCCATGCTTAAAATTCGACCTTGTTAGGTGCTTTTTTTATCATTGTCATTGTTATTAATTATCATTAAAACATTTTTTTTTTCCCTGATGGTGATGTAGAAATTTCTTTTATGTGATACTAGTTACTGATAGTATTGCATTTTCATGATCTCAATCTTGGCATGGTCTCTTATTGTTCTTTTGTTCAAATACTTTTTCAGGTAGCAATAAAATCAATTATGCATTCTATTTTATTTTATTGTTTTGCTTTCAAGTAAATGATATATGCAAATTGCAAATTTCAAATCATTGAAAATGGTCTGGTGGAAACACTCTTGACCTTTCATAATCAATTACTTGGTAGTCTAGTGATGTATGATAAAGTAGTTATGTTGTGGACATCCAAGATTTCATGACTAAAAATGACGTGCCAGATCTGATTCATGGTTGTTCTTTTGCAGGTATGGTGCACCTCTGCATGGTGGATTTGGTGTGGGATTGGAGCGTGTGGTGATGCTCTTTTGTGCCCTAAACAACATCCGCAAAACATCACTCTTCCCTCGTGACCCTCTCAGGATTGCTCCATGACATTTTATTCTAGTAGCGTGTTCTGCCTGACTCTTTTTTGTCACCAAGATTGTTTCCTCTGGATGTTATTTTGTTGGAAATGTCTTACCAGATAAAATTTACTAGTTTTTCACTGGAAAAAGTAACATTTACATACATCCCAAAATTGTTCATCTTCATTATTATATACGCATGTTGTCCAATTGCATTGCATGTGATCATTTGTTGTGCTGTGCAGTTTTTTCTGTTTCTATTTTCCTCATTGATTTACACCTAAGAAGTTATGTCATGCTCATATCAAAATAAAACCTAAAAAAATGTTATTAGGTCCTGAACTAGGCTACTTGTATCAATTACGTTGTCCCTCAAGTGCATAATTTCCTAATTCTTTGAACAAGAACTTCCTACTTTAGTTATTTATTTTCTTCAATTGTTAAATGAAACTTTGTGACAAATGATGGTATCAATATTACCATCATTTTTACTGCATCCGTCCCATATTAATAGTCGCTTTTGAAAATTTTAAACTTTTTAAAGAAATATAACCATTACATTTTGAATTCAAAATTTAAAGGGTTAATTTCAAAAATATCTTTCTATTCTTATTGTTAAATATATTTATAATGCAATTGAAGGCCTTGTCATGATTATGGCATCGACAAATGCCAAATTCCTTAATTGCATTACTCAAAACTTCCAGCGTCTAGCAGGTAGCTGAGAATCTTTACCGTTGGTTTTGAATTTGGATCGCATTTAGATTTGCTTGGGTTATATTTTGATTCAGAGTAATTAATGTCAGTTTCAGTGGGCAGATATTCATTGTGAAACAGAGTAGAGGTTTCATCAATTGTGAAGACTATGGATAGAGTTTACAATTTTGTTAGTACTTCAGATAATCATTGTTTGGCTACAGTTGGCTTCAAGCGGATGCTTAATCAGGTATGCAATGTCTTGGTTTATTCTACTAGAATGTGTAATGCACAATTGGTTATCAAACAGTTACCAAAATTATTACTTTCGAAGGAGTAAGCTGATTAATTTTAGAAATTAGTGGAGGTAGGAGTGATATCATTTTAAATATGATACCTGTGGTACCATCTGGTCTGTTATCTTCTAATGTTTAGTATCAATTTGTTTTATTAGGGTAACGGTCTTTAATCCTGCATTTTATATGCCTAGCAAACCAACTAGTATCATACATACTAGACATTGTAACTTGTGATTGCTGTTGATGAACTATTTCTTTTATAGGAGCATGCTTCTTACCAAATCCAGTTCAGTGTGCTGGAGAGGTAGTATCAGTGATAACTATTGTATTTTGCAATTTTGCAAATGGATTTGAGTGAGACCAAAATCCATCCAAATTCTAAATAAAAATGTTCTCTTCCATGTGATAATCCAACGGCCTATGTTTAAAGTTAATGCAAAACTATGTTGTTTTGGGGGTGTCATTTTAATGTCGTTTTACTTCAGTTTTAAGTCGAACCGTTAGATTATGTACACCTTGTGACAAGATCAGTGTAGGAAAATCATGGCAGAGAAACCGGACTCGATCTCCCATTTCAAGTAACTTGGTTTTGTTGTGGTCTTGCAGTGTGGCAAATTTGGGCAAAGGGTTTATCAAAAGCAGCCGATTTGTCCATACAAAAGTTAAATATTTTACTCCAACCTATATTATGCCTTTTTAAAATTCATTATATTTTGAAGAATTCCTCCCTAAATCTATCACAATGTACTTAAAATTTCACACGAGAGAGAGGGAATACTTGAAATTTCTTGCAGAAAAATAGTATATTCAAAACTTTATATCTGCCTCAAGATTTCTTTCATGACTTCTTTGAGATATTTATATTTTTTTTCCGGATCAAGGGCTAGAGGGTGTTTGAACGCCAAAAGAATTCTCTTTGTTGATGTAAACATAAGTTTCTTCGCAGTTTGGGTTTTGATAATGGCCTCAAATCGGGGTAAACATATTCAGTATTTTGGTTTCAGTTTTCTGAATTCAATTTTTTGAAAATTAAGTTTTTTTTTTGTTTTTCGTGTTTTTTTGTTTTTAGTGGATATTTTTTAAATTTTAAGTAATTTTTTTACTTTTTAGATACACTTTACTTAGATGTATCTAAATAGTAAAATATTTGTGAAAAAATATTTTAAAAATTTAATAAATACACAAAAATGTACCAAGTTTTCTTTTTTTTTTGTTTGTATTTTTTGGTATTTAATGTATTTTTTAAAGATTTTTTTTCACAAGAATTATACATTTTATGTGTATTTATGTTAGGTGTGTCTAAAAATAAATTCTGAATCTGTCATGAACATCATTCAGTAAAACTCTTTACTTTGTTATTATTCACTGGGCTTCTGCTCACTATTTATTTTATATATGTAGGTGAGCAAGCGCGTGATCAGGCCTAAGCTGCTACCTGGAGTGTTAAGTCAGCCAATTTGATTACATTTGTGCATATGGGTGACGTAAGACTAATGTACCTACGACGTCACATATATTTATATAAGTTTGTTTTGGAAATTTTCGTCTCATATACGTTATCACAACTCTATGGACAATGTGTATTCTATAATTGATTCTGCAACCCCTTATCGTATGTCTTTCTGTTAAGAGGCCTTTGGTAATACAAGAATTACTGGCCAGTTACAACACTAAACCTATATGAGCAAGTTTGGGTTGTGACATACATTGGGTGGGTACAGAATTTTGTAAAAAATTTAACAAATTCATCAAATTAGTCATGTTCAAGAATACAGAGTTGAACAAACTTAATGTGTTCAAAAAATTTATATCTGAACAACAAATAAAAGTTTAATTTACCTTTACCAAACTAACTTAAAATGTTCAAATTTTTATGTATGAACATTTAATATTTGGTCAATCTTAATAATTTAAACAAAATTGTGTTGTTCAAATATAAATAATCGAATATTGTGTAAAAGTTGAATTCTAATTATCTGAACACAACGAACAAACTCATCTTCCCAACATATGAATGAGACAAATAAAAAACCAAAATGTTAAGTCATAAACTAACCTTTTTAATATTCAAATCAATGTTTTCAATATTTATATCAGAATCAACCATTTTAGTGCCATCTATGATGTGCAAATCTTCAAAACTAATTGATTTCAATATTCTTAAATCCTAAATCTTCAAAGAATAATGTTTTGAGTTTGAAAAATAAATATAATGGAGAAGAGAATGAAGTGAGCTAATTGATAATAAATGATATTATGAGTGTATGTTAATGGTGAATATGATAAAGAAATACAATGTTTATATGTTAAAATCCTAAACCTCCCTAAACCTTATAGGGATGATGGTGTGTGAAGAGTATTTTGTGTTTTTAACTATGAAATTTTTAAATAGGCAGCATATATACCATGTTGTCCTTAATGGTCATTTAATTGAAGGATATTATTGAAATATAAATTTAATCTATTAATGGTGTATACTAAGAGTATTAGTGGTGTGTAAATATAATCACTTTAAATTTTTTAGATTTTTCATTTATTTTCTTTTACCCAAGAAAAGGAAAAAAATAAAAATCACAATAAAAGGTATACGTTTTTGTTGACTGGTTATATACTGTGAAATGCAAATACAATATGCTACAAGCTTATGCCTTGTTGAGAAAAATTTAATGTCTATAGTACCGACTATATTTAAGAATATGACTTCAAATATTTATTTTTATAATCCATTGTATAAAACATGCTCCGTCTTCTATCTAGATATTCACTAAGCTTGTGAATCTCATCACAATTATTACATGATTTCCAAGTGGTGGAAATTATGAGGAAAGACAAATTAGGAATATATATACACTTTAATTTACAGTAGTGCTACACGCATAAATTGGTGTATCAATTAGTATATTAATGGATGATGTGTCATAATTTTAGAGTTTTTGAGTCTTTATAATTTGTGTAATCGATATACTAATGGGTCACACCTCTAACTTCTAAAGTGGGGTTTGGATCATGACAAAACTCAGCAAAATTAATAAACAATTTCAAATTTAACCCAATCAAAAAAAAGCAAATTAATGTATGAACAATCTTTATAAATTATGCCTTAGATTGATATTAAATATATATATATATATATATTTATTTGCTTGAACGAGAGCAATTGAAGATTTTTTTAATTATTTAAAATCAAAAAATTAGAAATTTTAGTTTGAGATATTGGAGCTTCCATAAGACTTGTGGTTATAAACCCCTTTTTAATTATATAATAGATAGATAGATTTAATAAAAATTTATATTTGTTTTAGATATTTTTTTAATACACAATTTTTTTTAAAAATAATTTAACAATCTCATCACTAACCATAGTATATGAGAGAAGTTGAAAAGGGTGTAGCAATAAGTATGAGAGAAGTCAAAAAGACTTGTGGTTTGGAAGAAGTCAACAAATGCTAAGATTTTTTTTTTAAAAAAAAAAATCAAAAAATTAGAAAATTAAGATTGAGATATTGGAATTCTCACAAGGCTTGTGGGTTAGAAACTCTTTTTCCTTATATAATAGATAGATAGATTTAATAAGAATTTATATTTGTTTTGAATATTTTACAAATTATTTTTTAATAAGAATTTATAATCTATTTTACAAATTATTTTTTTTAGATTTTTTATAAAAATAATTTAGTAATCTCATCACTAACTATAATGTATGAGAGAAGTTGAAAAGGGTGTTACCAATAGATATGGGAGAAGTCAAAAGGCTTGTGAGTTGGGAGAAGTCAATAAATACTAAGATTTTTTTTTAATTCAAAAAATTAGAAAATTAAGATTAGAACATTAGAACTCCCACAAGGTTTGTTGATTAGAAACCCCTTTTTCCTTATAAAATATACTAGCCTATCACCCGTGCTATGCACGGGATAATTATAGATATTTATATTTGTTTTAGATTTTCTTTAATATACAAATAAATTTTTTTAGATTTTTTATAAAAATAATTTAACAATCTTATCACTAACCATAGTGTATGAGAGAAGTTGAAAATGGTGTACTTTTGTATGTCAAAAAAAAATCGGATTGAATTTTTTTTTTTTTAATTTTTTTAGATTTTTTATAAAAATAATTTAACAATCTTATCACTAACCATAGTGTATGAGAGAAGTTGAGAAGGGTGCTACAGTAATTATGCACGGGTTGTATCTATAATTATTTGTATGAAGAGATTTTGACCAAAGTTCTCAAAAGGCATGTGGAAAGGAAAAAGTTAATAAGTGTTGATTAGGGGATTTTGACCAAATCAATAAATGCAGGCATGCACTGCAAGAAAATACACTTTTGGCGACTAAAATATTAGTCGCCAAAAGTATTGATTTTAGTTGCCAAAAGACTTTGCCGACCAAAAATTTTGGTCGCTGGCTTTGTCGAGGATACATCGTCGCCGAAGGTATTAGCGACTAAAGAACATTTAGTCGCCAAAAGTACTACAAAATTACCGACTAACACGTTAGTAGGCAAAAGTAACAGCTATTAGCGAGGAAAAGAGCCTTAGTTGCCAATGACACACATTAGTGACTAACATATTAGTTGCCCAAAGGGTGCATTAATTTGTTTAACTTACTTCTTTAGCTACTAAATCTTTTGTCGCGACAACTTAAAATATCTACGGCGACGAAATCTTTTGTCGCCAATAGTGTTATTTCAGCTACTAAATCTTTACTCGCGGAAAGGTTCATTCTTGTTTGGCTACTAAACAGGTTAGTCGGCTATGCTTTTTTATTATGTTTGGGCGACTAAAAATGTTGTTGTCGCCAAAAGTGTTTTGAGTTGTAGCTACTAAAACAGTTAGTCGCCAAAAGTGTTTCGATTTGTTTTGGCTACTAAATATTTAGTCGCCAAAAGATTTATTTCTTTTTTGGCTACTAATTGTTTTGTCACCAAAAATGTCATTTTATATTTTTATTTTGTTTTTTGCATTTTAATAAATTTTGCTAGAACCTGTATGTATCCACCGCAACCTGTAATAGGTATACAACCTATATATATTATCACCTATTCCGTAATGCATGTTTCACTTACAACCATCAAACAAAAAAGAACACCTGCTAATGTATACTTATATACAAACCAACAATATATATTCCAATTACAAATAATAACGTCATACATTCCAAATACGTTACCAAAACAATGTCCTCCTTACATAACATTTTTACTATACTGCGCATTGTAATGACCATTTGCCAAGGTACAAATTACCATGGTGATATGTACCACGACAAAAGGTAATCTATATATATACCATCAGAGCAATTAATACAAGCTCCAAAAATACTATGTACCCCGCCATAAATTATATGTACGATGCATCCAAATTCCACGGTTCATTGATTCTATACGACCAGAGCAATTAATAGAAGCTCCAAAAATACTATGTACCCCATTAAAAATTATATGTATGATGGATCCACAGTCCACACAAAAAGTATAGAACGACAAAAAACTTCCCAAATTTTCAAAACTGTGAATTATCTTCCGGACAAAAAAAATAGAAGATCCACATGTCAATGCCAAAAGCCATCTACACAACAAAAATTACACCCATTAGTTACATCGTAAACAAAAATTGTAAACAAAAAGTTATAGCCATCTACAAAACACAAATTGCAAGGATGTTAATTGTAATTGAAATTGTATTTAACTATAGTTTGTATTTAGGAATTTCAATATACTTTCTTTACACTTTAAATTGTATTGAAAGTATACATTTGAAGTGCAAAGAAATTTTCCAAGTCAAGCATGAGCCCCAAGTCAAGTTTAGTCTAATGTGTAAACATATATGTATTTTATTCATAAATATACATATATAGAGATGCTTATAGAACATATATTTTTGTAAGCTTTAATAAATGCCATCACAACTTCATCAAAAAGTTCTCCTTTTTTCACTTGTTTGCCAACCTCTTCAACCATTTTTGTCTTACCTACCCCTCCTAGTCCATGCACCCCAATCTGTTTGTGGTTCACAAATTTAAAGCATTTCATGCTTTCAGGATCTGTTTTGTGGTTCACAAATTCTTCAACATACATGTGTTAATTATGTCCCGTTTGTCCCCACAGGTCCTATTTGACACAAGGAAGCTACTCGTGCCATCCCTACAGTGGTTCGGGGGCTGCTTTCAAATTTCGGCCCTTGAACGCCTTTTTCGACTAAGTTTATGGCGTTCTGGTAAGACGAGATTTTAGAGAGGAGACTAACTAAACTAATATATATTTCCAATATGACAATAATGAAGCTCATAATTGTCTAACGTATTGAACATGGTCAATAGGGGGAAACAGACCCGAAATTATGTTGATTACAACCCAAATAAAGTCATGATTTAATGTTGACAACTCCTAATGCACAATGAGGGTTTCATTAATTTTTTTCACGTATTACCATCCTTTATATTGTACTAAATCAAAATTCATTCCAATTTAACTTGGTTTATTCAATTAGTCTTAAATTTGAAATGACATTCAATTGGATATCACTGCTAATATAGTAACTGGCCTCCTATTCATAGGCTCATCGTATTTGCTTTTGGGGAACTTAATATTTCATTGAAATCATGTGGTTACCTTATGGAAATCAGATTCACGGCCTTTGTGTAATGTATCAAAACACCATGTCGGCTGCTGCAAAGTCTACTCACTTTATGCCTCAAAACCTATTCGAAGCACATAATAAAAACAAAATTTGCATAGCAACTTTAGAAAACAATTCTATGTCAATATGATCCATATTTTTTGTAGAAGTTGAACTAGCTTGTTAAACAAAATTCTGTTTACTGAATAGTAGGATAACCATCTGAACCCTCCAAAAGGGTTGTGGGCCTTGACACCACGTCGTTCAAATGATTGAGTTGTACTTGTTGTGCCTCCTGTGCTTTTTTTTCTTCATCGACCTATTTGATGAGCTGCTCTCTTTCCCACATAATTTCCTCCCGATCTCTTTGGCACTCCTCTTTCTCCTTCAAGCTCCTCGTGATCTCTTCAGCGCTCCTCTTTCTGCTTCAGCAATTCCTCGTGATCTCTTCGACAGTCCTCACGAAGAACCTCCAGTTCCGCTCTCATTGACTCCATATGTTTATCACGTGCTCGTGCCGCACTAGAAGCTGTGGAAGAAGGTTGTGGGCCTATCCCACATCCACGCAAGTAATTTTTTTTTCCCTGAGAACTTGCCTTGATATTTCTTCGTGGGTCAATGGCATCCCCACATCGGTGGCTGCCACTTGTAGATTCACCATATCATCCTGTCATGGCAAAAAAACAATAAAGTCAAGATGGGAGAAGGAATGTAAAATAACTTTACTAATAGATATGCAACACACTTGGTTTCAACATTCAATACTCACATGTAGCTCACCACATTTGGAGTCAATCCAATCTCCCGTCTTCTTGGACTTGTGTGCTTTCTTATAAAATTCAGGAAAATCTATATCTCCATCCTCATTTTCTTGTTAGGTTTGGAAAAATTCCATTGACGAATTAGTACATGGTAATATTCAAAATCAAGAAGAATCAATCATCCATTACATTAGTAAATTAACTTCTCACCATAAGCGACATTGCTATAAGAAATGATCGCGATCCACTTGTATGATTATAGGGGAGCATACCCCTATTTGCTTTACCAACTTTTGAGCGTTTCTAAAAAAATAGGAACAAAAAACAAAAAAAACAAAAAAATTAGTGAACAATTTTTACATATTAAAACATAAATTAATTTCAATAATGGGGTTTCTAATTAATTTGTTACCAAGTGAGATTCGTCTTTCCAAGCAACATCAATCATATATTTCCAGTCCTCCAAGCTCACTCCACTAGGCGGATGACTATAGGGGTCATCAACACCATTTTCCTCAAGTTCGAGGAACTCTTGCTTTAGATTGTACCTCCAATCCTTGCATAGCAAATATGTCTTTCTATCGAGGATCTATTGAGCTTGTTCATCATTATCAAAATCATCGCTGATAACAAACTTGTCCTACAAACATAATAAGAGAATTAGTATAACAATTAATTTATGCAATTACAAATAACATAATGAAGACATTATGGCAAGATGATTCTCATACTAGCACCGCTTGGATGACCGCATCTTTGGTAGTTTGATCAATTTTTCTCCATGACTTCACACTCTGAAGAGGGCACAACCATCTAATTTGAAGACCCAACTCATTCATCGCTGGGGTGGCATTCCCTCCTGTGATTGCGTTCAACACCCGATTGACATAGACATGTAATTTCTCCCCCTTTCTCCTAGTAATTTTTTTTTCCACTCCTTTGCCTAATGTTGGTTCTCGTACACGAGTTGACCTCGTTTTCCCTGGTACAAAAAGGGAAAGAAGTCACAAATTACAAACATTGCTAATGAACTTAAAAAAAAAAAGTGCTGGTTGTGGGTCCTGTTAATTTTTTCGCTGCCTACTGTTGCTGCCAGCTACTGTTTGGCTGCATAAAATCAAACATAAATTATGCTACAACTTGGATTTCGCAGCTATCGATGCAGCTGGGGCAACATTCAATTGGCTGTTGCTGCTGTTGTAGCTGATTTCAAGGTTGTTTAGCTAATATTTTATTTGTTGTGGAAGTGTCCTTGTTATGTGCAAAGTAATGTTTGTTTTTTTTTTTCTTTGTTTCTCTTGCTCTTTATGGGGTTTTCATAGCCTTACTTGATGACTTATGCACCCAAATAAAATAAAAAAACAAAATTTTTAGCTTACAACTAAGTTCAATGCTCTTACCCACTCCACCTAGAGGTGTCTCGTCCATCATTGTTTGTGTATCATCTGGTGGTTGCGTCTCATCAGAGAACGTCAGCGAGGTGCCAATCTCCTGTGGACATCCTTCAGAGGCCGATAATACGTTGCCACTTGTTGCTCTCTTCCGCCGCCCCGTCTCGATTCCAGGAACCATGGTACCTACATTACGTAACAAACATACATGAATAATTGTTCCTGACAGATCTTTTGCATTACAAAAGTCTACTTGCACACAAATAAAATACATAAAGGTTCTCAGATGAGAGACCCCCTCTTGTCTCTGTTCCATGAAACTGTCTGTGTTTTATTCATCTTTAGAATTAATGTGCTTAATTATCACTGATAAGTACTATGTTTGTAAATGGTGCAGGTACATGGGAATTAGGATACTAAGTGAGAGGCTTGCAAGGGAGGAATCAAAGTGATAATATCTCACTATTGCAAAATTTTATTTTCAAGGGACATCAACCTGTATGCTTAGACACGAATTACTTATTTGAGTTGTGTCGTCCAAAGTAATTAATGTTTTCAAAATTGTTATCAGACGATTTGATTTATCATTTACACTGAAAATTTTATTAATATAGTTGTTGGCTTTCTATTTTATTGTTCATGTCATATATTAGGTAGATTTCAAGTGACAAATTATTTGATTCCTCACAGAGTTCTCCCCCCCTTTTACAACAAAACCATTCATTATTCATAATGGCAAGCAATAAGTAGAAACCAAAGCAGACTTATTATTTGCTTCAAACAAAACCAGATAAGGTGATTAAGGTTGAAAGGGTCTTTATCTACCTTGATTTGAATATTATCTAACTCAGCTCTAGAACTAATGACCCTGGTAGACACATCATTGAAATCGTTTTTATTAAGATTTTTTTAACACAGGTTTAAAAGACATAAGTTTGCAGCAAATCCTAAACATTCAATTGGATGCCCTGCACTGATTTGCACCAAATCCCATGGACAGCAGGTAGAAATTCTTGGTGATCAGCCCAGAAATCAAAAAATTTAAAAGGTTTCTTAGACCTAGGCCGTTTTTGAATGATGGTCAAAACAACAGGAGAATGATGAGATGGCCCTGTAGGATAGAAATTGGCATGGAAAGAAGGAAAACATTACAGCCATTTATCATTGACAATAACTCTATCAATTTTGGGAGCAATATATAGACCATCAGTTTGCTTGTTAGCCCAACTGAATTGACAACCAGTATAAGAAATGTCATCCAGAGAAGCTTGAAGGAGGGTGGTATTGAACAACTCTTGAGCACTAGACCAAGTATTAGACCCCCCCCCAAACTTTTTCATGACAGAACCTAACAACATTAAAATCCCCTATCCAAACAGTTGGGATGTTGGACTTTTGGGAAGCAATATCAACCAAAGTGTCAAAAAAATGACTTCTCAAAATGTTTGCGAACGTGTCAACTAAATTTCATGTCGTTCAAGCAATCAACACAAGGACAACGGATTTCATCTGTGGCCCTAAATTCTTCGTAGCGAACTCAATAAATGACTGAACACCTTCTAGATACTCTTTACTTTTTAGCCTATCTTTGATCATCATCCAACTCTTGTCCATTATTGGAACAATACACATCAAGCAAAGATGAACTTGGGAATGAACGGCAACTTGGAAAAACACGTTGTACTGGAAGAGAGCTTAAGTAAGTTTAAGGGTTCGATTAGCATTGCAATAATGAAGTGAACGAAGTAGTAATAACAGATCGAGATGTTTTGCCTATTTGTCAATTGCATATAGTTGGTTAATTTCACTAGTAACTTGGCATGCATTCATATGCAAATGTGACATACATGAACAGTTCTATGTGAAGTCATCTTAGAGGGAGACATATAATTGTATCTTTATGTAAAGAGAAGGTAAATTTCAACTATAATTATATTTTGTATTGTTCATATACTAAAAAAGTGTGCAAACAAATTTATTTTCATATTACAAATTACTTAATTTAATTACATAGATTGATTGTTACTTCTAAGTACTATTCCAAATATATACCCTTAATATGATTCTTCAATTCTATATTAATTAATAGGGGCATTTGTTAGTCTTGGTGTAAGATTAATTTATATTTAACAAACATTATACTAATTTCTAAATAGCACAAAGCATCTTAGAGGGAGACATATAATTGTAACTTTATGTAAAGAGAAACTAAATTTCAACTATAATTATATTTTGTATTGTTCATATACTAAAAAAGTGTGTGAACAAATTTATTTTCATATTACAGAATAATTAATTTAATTACAAGGATTGATTGTTCCTTCTAAGTAATATTCCAAATATATACCCTTAATATCATTCTTCAATTCTATATTAATTAATAGGGGCATTTGCTAGTGTTGGTGCAAGATTAATTTATATTTAACAAACATTATACTAATTTCTAAAGAGCACAGAGCATCTTAGAGGGAGACATATAATTGTAACTTTATGTAAAGAGCACAAAGCATCATCGCAAACTACTCAATCCCAACTAAGTTGGCACCAAGCAGAGAGCCCAATCATCTGCAAGCTCGACCCCAAGGGTTGGTGAGAAACCAAACCCAACAAGAAAAAAAGGCAAGAAAAAAAAACCCCCCCAAAGAATCAAAACCCCAAACTACCATTATTTGGAATAAACGAAAAACCAAACACCCCATAGACCTATTAAAATCCACCCAGCAACCATCACCAACATCAACCAAAACATGAACAATAAACAAAGCATAAACAGCCCACACCCACCCCACTCGCAGCAGCAAATCAATTGAGCAAAGCAAAGACAAACCCAGCAAAACAGAGCACACAAGCAAAGGTTATTCAAATCCTTTACATTACTCTGAAAACAGAAAACAGGGCAGGAGCATGTTGATATAATTAATAAAATACAATGAAATATTTGTTCTTGCTGTAAACCCAATACTTGTGGAGCTTGCCCCTTTTGGAACAGCTTCAAAAAGCCGAAATTCAGAAACTAACAATGGCACTGATGGTATGCTCTGTTTATTTTTTTTTTCCCCTTGTCAGTTGCTTTTTTTGTTATTTTTTTTTATTGATATCTTGCTTTTACAAGTAGGTCAATGACCTGGATGACCTACGATATCACCATTTCCAAGTCTTCCTGATATGTCTCCAAAAAAAGTATCTGCAACACATAGTGTATATGTTTCTCCGTTGCGGTCATGGAAGGTAGTTGTTTGTTTTTTGAATTTTATTTGTATGTAATCAAACTTCTGCATTCTATTTCCTTTGACGTTGGATTTCGTTGAACTTGGACACAAAAAGCTTGACAATTATTGTAACCATTCTTTCAATCACGACTTTTTGCATATTAGAGTCTTATACGTACTTTTTAAAATCATTTCTTCTTTCATGGGGTTAATTTAGTACTTCAGTTGCTCATACCCTTTAAATTCATTGCTCTCTTTAACTATTTAGTTAATTCCGTAATGCATGTTCGCTGATGTCATTGTCAGTATGTATAAGAAAATTTTGTAAATCATTTTGGTTTCTATTCCCTAGGATCCACATCAAGGTTTTCCATTCACATGTTCATGATATTATTTTATATATTAGTCAAATAAAAAGAGTTATAACCACATAAGTTTTATAATAATAAATAAAATAAATAAACTTTGCTGTCGCTGTGAATGCACAGAAGTGGCTGAAAGCTAGAAGATTGGCAATGTAACTATTTATTTATTTATTGTGTTTATTAAAGAAAGCATGATATGCCCAAATTCAAATTGCTATTAAGTTTGATAGGGGTATTAATAAGATTACAAAAAGGGGGCCCAAGTTATTGAAGTATGAATCATAAGTGCATAAGCAATCATGTAAACAAACTTAAATACCATGAGTGCAAAGAGATATCTGTATATCATATTAATTCCACATTATATACAATTCATATTGTGAACCATCATGTTAATTACTCAAAAGGTAAAAGCAAAATGGCAATAAAGGGAGGAAACAAATAGTATAAAAGTCTAAGTTGGGAAATTATCACTAAACAAGAGCTGACAACTTGTATATAAAAGTCTAAGTTGAGTATAAAATTAAATACTCAAATCATTTTTTGTAAGTGGAAATTTTAATACAAAATCATGGCATCAGTTATCTAGCAACATAATTTCTTCCATTTATATAAATTATTTAGTTTAATGAGCATGGCAATACATGCACAACATTTGGGAAATTATTTAGTTTTATCACACTTTGGTATATGATTAAATTTATAACAAATCAAAGAGTCAACACATAACTTGTCATGTCATTGTGGATACGATTATGAGACTCAAAATGTAGGTCTCAATCTTTTCCCCAAATATATTGGTCAATTTCTCACTTGTGCATTCAAATCTATTAGACCGGTAGAAAGGTTATGGAACAAATTACCTTGTTGCGTATTAGATCGCTTTGTTTAAGACATTTTGCAACTCTGCCCCTCTCTGTGCAAGCAGTGTAGTAGCCACTACCACCCCAGCCTTTCCGTGCAACTCTGCCCCCGTCTCAGCTTTACTAGGACAAAGGAAGACCGGAATGTACTACACTGTCAACCTTGCTTGGAATCAATGGAAATAGTGTGTACATATCAGAATATGACTTCAAATGTTTCTATAGCAACACATTACGGTTTATTTATAAATCTAAAGCAAAAGAGTACCAAATCTTTCATTATTTTAATAAAATGATTTTTGGGATTTGTTGAAATCATTAGGCGCACAATTTTAATATAACATTCATTATCTTATTTCCTTTTCCCTCCTACAAAACATGCCACTAGTCTCTTCAAATTCAAATCACCATCATAAGCAAGAGAACCAATACTTGATCTAATTATCAGGAGAGACCTAATAGAGACCATGACCAACACCAAAAATGTGTAGGGATCACTGTTTCTACGACACCCAACATCCATTATAAGCTGTTACAGAACGACATACGCGGGCATCGACAAACATCAATCCTTTTATCACTAAATATGGTTTTCTTTCATGGGCATGCCAGGTTCTTAAAAACACAACACAAACCTACCTGTTCTATAAAACTGAGTAAAACAATCAAGACTTTGTTCCTTGTTCAAGATAGGAAAGCTCACCAGACCAAATTCCATTCTACTGTTAAGAGAGACCTACTTATCAACACCCACATTGATCTATGTGGGACATGACCCACGTGCCATATCACTTGGCATCCTCTCTATCCCCGCCAATACATGCATGCATATATATATAGGGCTAGTTTGGAATATTCCTAAAACAGAGGCACATTTTGGTCATTTAGTTCAACAATCCACAATCGAGAATTAGAAATTGGCAATCTGAAATTTTAACCAAACCCATTGACGAAATCAGAAAAAGGCCTAAAAATTGTTTGCGAAATCAACAGAAAATGAAAGAAAAAAAACATTTAAAAACCCTACAGAAATCGTTGGAGACACGGGGATGGGAGAGAGAGTGAGAAAGAGATACAAATAGACAGACCCAGATTGACAGAGAGGGAGAGAGACAAATACATGTAATCAGTGGTGGGGCTGATTTGCAGTGGTCGTGGTGGCCAGCGCCGGTGGCCAGCGATGGTGATGATCGGCGGTCAGGTTTGGTATTGATTGCTGGTGTGTGAGGTCTGTATGTTGGTGTGTGAGACAAAACAGTTCCAAAAATGTGTCTGTGAAATATATATACTGGGCGTGAATATTTAATAAGTTTCCCTCTATGACAAAAAATTTTTGTCACAAAATGGTAGCAAACAACAACTACAACTAAGTTTGGTCGCCAATAATAATATATGGCGACTAAATTAATTTAGTAGCTAAAAATATTTAACGAATGCCGACTAAATCAGGTTTTTAGTCGCCTATTATGGTGCTTTTGGCGACTAAAATTGTTTTGGTGGCCAATTTTAGTCGCCAATTGTGCATTTTGTTGTAGTGATGTGAAAGACACGTGAATTGGAAAAAGTTAATAAATGCTGGTTAGGGAATTTTGAACAAATCAATAAATATTGAGGTTTTTTTTTTTAAATCAAAAATTTAGAAAATTAAGATTGGGATATTGAAACTCCCATAAAGCTTGGGGGTTAGAAACCCCCTTTTCCTTATATATAGATATAGATATAGATAGATATAGATATAGATGTACTAATTAGTGTACACACTAGTGTACTAACAGATGATGTGACATAATTTTAGAAGTTCTAGGTGTTTATAATTTGTATAATAAATAGGGTCATTAATGATGTCATTAGTACACTAATGTGTACACTAATTGATATACGTAACACTATCGTTTTTAATTTATACCTTTGTAGTTTAATGAGTTTTGAATTTTTTTTTTATTAATTTAAAAAATGTGTTGTGAAGTTGATGAGATTAACGTCTAGGATTGCTGTCTCTCTTACCATGGGATGGGATGAGTGAGTGATGTGGCAAGTTCCACGAACAATAGATAAAGTGTCAACTTTTAACTGGTTGGGGGCTAAACATCATCGTGCTGACAATGTTTCTGACCCATCAAATAATTTTTCGGAAAAATTGCAAATTAGTGGGACAGTGAAAGAATGTTTACATTTTTATGGTGGTGCAAATGTTCTGTATGCATGGTGCAAGTCCTTATATTTGGTGCAACACCTTACAATTTTTCCATCACCACATGTCTGAGTTCAGATGTTCTAAATTTTTTTTAAAAGATATTGAATTTTTTTGAAAGCGTATTACATTTAGGACTTGTTAGCAGGTATTTTAATATTATAATGTGTTATAGGTTGGTTTTCTTTTCTTTTCTTCCTTGTTAAGCCTTCCAAGTCATCCAAGGTCTTGGTCTTGGTCTTAGTCTCCATAACTTATCCACCAATCTTATCTTATCCAAGTCTTGGTCAAGCCCACCAAGACTTATCCATTCCATGTCTTCATCCGTTTCTTCCCCACCAAGAACTTGTCTAACTAGTTCTCATTTCTATATATTTGAGCTAATGTCCTATCTTGGTGAAGAGGTGAAGAAGTTTTGGTTGTTTGGTTATGTCTTGAGTGAGATTATCAGGCAAATAAAAAGGGTGTGTGTGATAAAGCTTTGGGTTCAACCAATTGTACAGTATTGGTGAACCATACGACTTAGTCGGGCTATTGTATCCTGGGGGGGCAAGTCAAGGTTTTTCTGCTGCACCGGTGTGAGGCTTTGCCTAATCGCAGAGGGCTTGAATCTCCTTAAAGAGAGCGAGTTTCCCGCGCCTCAGCCCTGATAATAAGTTATTGTAATTTTAATATTTGTATTTTCTGGTGTGTTATTTGTAATTATCACCAATTTTAAGGAGATTCAAGTAGCAAAAGTTCATGGAGCCAGTACTGGAGAAACCCAACGAGAATACCGGCGATCTCAACAAGCCCTTCCGGTTCAAGGGAGCTCATTTCAAGAGATGGAAGGGCAAGGTGCTTTTCTACTCAGTCTCCTTAAGGTGGCCTATATCCTAACCAAGAAAAATCCGAACAAAGTCCCCATTGAAGAGATGACCGACGAGGAGTATGCTGCTCATCTTGAAAAACTTGAAAAATACAATACAGATGAGTATAAATGTCGATACTATCTTTTGAATTGTCTTTCAGATCAATTTTATGATTATTATGATACTACTTACACCACTGCCAAGAAAATTTGGAAAGCCTTGCAGAACAAATATGACACTGAAAAGGCAGGCGCTAAAAAATATGCTGCAAGCCATTTTTTCCGCTATCAGATGATAGATGGAAAATTAGTGGTGGAGCAAGTTCAAGATTTTCAAATGTTAGTTGCTGAAGTTAGATCTGAAGGCATCAAAATTGAAGACAATCTTGTTGTAGCAGGTATTGTTGACAAACTTCCATCATCTTGGAGGGAGTTCCAGAAGTCAATGTGTCACAAGCAAAAAGAGACGTCCTTGGAGACTCTAATCACACGAATTCGGGTGGAGGAGGAAGCACGAGGACATGATGCTCTTATGACACAAGAGCATTCCATTGCAAAGGTAAATTTAACTTCTGGAAATACTTTACCTAAAGGTCGATTTCATAAAAATAGTCACTTGGAGCCAGTTAAAAAAATTTAGAAAAATACTGGAAGGCCACAAAATAAAAATTTCCCGAGGCAAAAGAAATGGAACCAAGAACCCTCTTTACAAGATCTGACAAATGTGACATGTTTTGTGTGTGGCAAAAGTGGGCATATTGCTCGAACTTGCAAATTTCGGAAACAACAGCCTTGACCACAGGCTAATGTTACCGAGGAACCATTTGTGGCTATGATCACAGATATTTTTATGGTTCAATCTGTGGAAGAGTGGTGGGTAGACTCTGGTGCCAATAGGCATGTCTGTTATGATAAAGATTGGTTCAAAGATTTCACTCCTTTTAATGAGGAGAGGACTGTTATGCTTGGTGACTCCAATTTAACCAAGGTGCTTGGGTGTGGGGATGTTGAGCCTGAATTTTACCTCTGGACGGTGTGCTTGTTTTAAAAGATGTGTTGTACACACCGTCCATGAGAAAAATTGATGTCAAGTTTATTTGCTCAAACAAGCCGTTTCAAAACAGGACTATTGAATCTGACCAATATATAATCACTAAAAAAGGCATATTTGTGGGAAATGATTGCCTGTGATGAATGTTAAATTAAATGTTTGAGAATAAGAAAGCACATGTTTCTGTTTACATGCTGTCTTCTATGAAATTTTTGGCATGCTCGTCTATGTCATATTAATAGCCAATATGTGGGAGTCATGAGTAGTTTATGATTAATTCCAGAACTGACAAATAAACTTGAGAAATGTGAAATTTGCAGTCAAGCAAAAAATACTAAAAAAGCCTCATAAAAGTATGGTGAGAAATACTGAATTGTTAGAATTAATCACACTGATTTATGTGAATTTGAAGGAATTTTTAACACATGGTGGAAATAGATATTTTATCACTTTTATTGATGATTTTTCAAAATACACTTATGTTATACTTGTTGAAAAATAAAAATGATGCTTTTGAAAAATTTAAAGAATTCCTTATTGAAGTTGAAAATCATTCGGTAAAAAGATTAAAAGGTATAGAAGTGATAGAGGCCGGGAGTATGAATCTTTTGGATTCAACTCGTTTGCTCAGTCTTTGGGAATAATCCATGAAACTACTCCACCATATTCACCTACATCTAATGGTGTAGCAGAAAAGAAAAATAGAACTTTAACTGATTTAACAAATGCTATGCTAATTGAAGCAGGTGCTCCTTCAAATTTGTGGGGAGAAGCAATTTTAATGCATGTTATGTTATGAATAGAGTGCCACATAAAAAAACAAAAGTTACACCTTTTGAGTTGTGGAAAGGGCATAAGCCAAATTTGAGATATTTGAGGGTTTGGGGTTGTCTAGCTTTTGTTAACTTGTGGACCCTAAAAGACCTAAATTAGTATGAAAAGCTGCCACTTGTTGCTTTCCTTGGATATGCAACAAATAGTACAGCCTATAGATTTTTTGATATGGAAAACAAAATAATTTTTGAATCAGGTGATGCAATTTTTCATGAAGAAAAATTCCTTTTAAATCTAAAAATGGTAGGGGTCAAAATTATCAAGAAAATATTTTATCTGAAACCGGTTCCTCTACTCCTCTTTTACAAAACCAAGACACTGTAGTTTTTGAACCTAGAAAGTAAAAGATCCAGATTAGAAAAAGATTTTGGCCCTGATTATCATGTTTTTAATGTGGAGGAAACTCCATTAACTCACAAGAAGCTTTGGCATCTCTGACTCTGTTTTTTGGAACGAGACTGTAAATGATGAGATGGAATCATTATTATCCAATAAAACTTGGGTATTAGTAGATTTACCACCAGGTTGTAAGACTATTGGCTGTAAATGGGTTTTGAGGAAAAACTTAAACCGGATGGAACTATTGATAAATATATAAGCAAGACTTGTTGCAAAAAGTTTTAAACAACAAGCAGATCTTGACTTTTTTGATACATTTTCTCCAGTTACTAGAGTTACATCCATTAGATTATTGATTGCAGTGGCTGCAATTCATGATCTAAAAATTCATCAAATGGATGTTAAAACAGCTTTTTTAAAATGGAGACCTGGGTGAAGAAATATATATGGATCAACTTGAGGGTTTTCGTGGAACCCGGTCAAGAAAGCAAAGTGTGCAAGCTAGTTAAATCCATATATGGCTTAAAACAGGCCCCTAAACAGTGGCATGAGAATTTGATTCCTGCATGATTGAGAATGGCTATAAAACGAATGAATGTGATAAATGCATTTACTATAAATTTGAAGAGAATTCACATGTCATTATTAGCCTCTATGTGGATGATTTACTTATATTTGTCTAATTTGCATATCATCGTGGAAACTAAAAATATGCTTAGTAGCCATTTTGATATGAAAGATCTTGGTGAGGCTAATTATATTTTGGGAATGAAATTACAAAACCTGTAATGGTATATTTCTTGATCAGTCGCATTATGTTGAGAAAATTTTGAGAAATATAATTTTTATAAGTGCAAGCATGTTCTTACTCCTTTTGATCCTCATGTGCGTTTATTTCCTGTTGAAAATAATGAGGATGTAATTAATCAAAAGGAATATGCTAGTATGATTGGTAGCTTGCGTTATGTGACTGACTGTACTAGACCTGACATTGCATATGCAGTTGGAGTACTTAGCAGGTACGAGCAAGCCTGGCAGTGATCACTGGCTAGCCATTGAGCGGATTATGAAATATTTATCTGGTACCATAAAATATGGCTTGTTTTATAATAAGTATCCTGCAGTATTTGAAGGTTACAGTGATGCCGATTGGAATACCTTGTCAGGTGATTCATTATCAACCATTGGTTACTTATTTACATTGGGCGGTGGTGCTCTAAGTTGGAAATCGAAAAAACAAACCATTATTGCTAATTCAACAATGGAGGCTGAGCTTATTGCTTTAGCTACAGCTAGTGAAGAAGCAAATTGGTTAAGAGATTTGTTAAATGAAATCTCCTGTTGGGAAAAATCGATTCCACCTATATTGATTCATTGTGATAGCACCGCAGCAATTGGTTGAGTTAATAATCGTTATTATAACAGTAAATCTAGACCTATCAGAAGAAAACATAGTACTGTGAGATCTTATATGAATAATGGCATCATAAATGTGGATTATATTAAATCTAGTGATAATTTTGCAGATCCATTAACCAAGGCCTTAGCAAGAGATAGAGTCTGGAATACATCGAGGGGGATGGGGTTGAAGCCCATTGAATATAGCAAGAGCCATGTATGAGGATACTCAACTCAGGGACCAGAGATCCTGTAACCGGGTTCAATGAGAAAAACGATCATATGATGGCTGTGAGAAATGCACTAAATTACTTTTTACCCATCCCTATGATGTAAGTGCATTTATCCTGTAACGTTGTAGAGGTTGAGTTATTAAAAAACTCTTAATGAATTTCTGTAGCTCTTATTGAGTGGGGTGTCATAGTTACAGGAGCACCCTTGACAGAATTCACCTATGTAAGTGTGCTAGTGGGGCCGCTACCTATGAGATTTGGGCTAATTCTCAAATACACTCATGAATCCTGAGATCGCAC